ACATCAGCCAAAGGAGGACCGGCAGGAGTTCCTCAGCAATGAGGCAGATGGGACGCGGGAGATCCCTCGGCAAGAGGCAGCACCCTTGGGAGGGGAATGTGGGATAGCGGTCATTGAGGCGCCAGGGGCTTAGGTTTCGGAGCCGTGAACGACCGGCCTTCTTTTGTTCAAGAAAGTCAGCGAGAGATGAAGCATCGCACCGCCTTACTTCACCAGGGTATTCGAGAGATAAAACTTCAATATATGGAAGGAACACAACGACTCCTGAATTTTCTCCTCCTCAACAACCTTCCTCCCTACCAACAACTTTTCCGTCGACAACTTTCTTCCTCATTGACAACCTTCTTCCCAAAACACAAAAGGCTGAGAGTGTTGCCTCGCCTGCCGATCTTCATCGGTGCAATTCTTGCCTTAGAGTTCTACCAACTCGGCTCTTCCGAGCAACTCACATCCAGCGACAATTTTTGAGGGCATCTTCATCTCCACCGCGCAAAGAAAAACGCACCTTCTGCGCTTTCCTTCCGGAGGCTTCTGAGGCTTCAACGTATTTAGTACTCTTCAAACCCTCCACAACGACATTTTTGTTCGTCTCGCTACCCATCAACTCTTCTACTCAACCTGCCCGGTTCCCGGGGCTCAGACAGCCAGCCGAAATCCACCTCGAGTCCTCCTCAAACATCCTTCCGACTACCGATTGTCCAATCTGCGCACCGGCTTCTTTCCCTTCACTATCCATTCATCAAGCTCATACTCCGCGTTCTCTATCTTCACCTTCCCCCCCGCACCCGTCAACCACACCCTCGCCACAACCATATTGTCGGGCTCTTCCCGCCATTAAACCCTACCCTACGACACTCTGCCCTCTCACGCTTGCTTGAACTTCTTCACTTTGACATTCAGAGCACTGGGCAGCAATCAAATTGCACCGGCCGTAAGTTTCACGCAAGAGCTCAGCGGTTCTTTCCCAGAGCTCCAACTCCCCGCCCAAACAACGGTTCTTGAGGGACACAATGGCTGACATCTCATCAGGGCCGCCAAGATCCGTTAATAACTCCATCAAGACAGCGGCACTTGGACATCCTTCAGCATCTTCCCCTCTGATTTGTGTCCCCACCAGCCATTCTCCCGCATTTTCATTGTTTTATCGCTCAAAATGCCCGTATACACCCCCATCACGCCGGTTACCATCACCCAGGAGTCTGCCCGCTCCGTGTCGCCAGAAGAATTCACTCCCGCTCCGAGCACTGCGGGCGGCAATGGCGGGGGTCGCAATCCCCCTTTCCCCCCCGTCGCCCTGGCGAACTATGACGACGATGACGCAAGAGACGATACCCGAAGCGACAGAAGAAGCAACAGCGATAGCAGTAGCCGCCGCATGAGAGCTACAGGAGATAACGGCGGAGGCCACTCTCCCTCTCCCCACTTCGTTGCTCAGGAGGAAGATGAGGACGATGGCCCCAGCAACCATCCGGGCGGATTCGCCCCTTTTCTCGCTCAGGCCGATGATGTTCAGAGCCACGCCGGCCTCGGTCAGTGGCGCGCGGGCAGTCTGGCGCTGAGCACCGAGTATGACCGGAGCAGCATTGGCCGTTCCCCTTCTATCGTTGATCAGGATTACGGTGACGCAAGTGACGACGCCCGGAACCAAGATGATATTGACAGCGACAGCGAGAGCATCCACAGTGGAACCAGCCGCACTGGAACCAGCCGCATGGATACCAGCAGTAGTCAGAGCAGCCGTAGCGAAAGTGAGAGCGCCAGGGATGAAAGCGAGGACATCGAAAGTGAATGGAGCACTGCGGCCCACCGCGGCGATGTCGACATCAATGACAACGATAGCGACGACAGCAACGATGATGGTGGCGGTGACAGTAGCGATGATGAAGACGACGATCACGAGCTCGTCCCCGTGGAGACAATACAGGTGGTCCGCTGGGGCACCGAGGACAAGAGACAACGCGACAATCCCGATGTGAAAGTTTGGCAGACGCAGACTCAAGTCCCTCTTTTTGCCAGTGGTACCCGTGTATGGGTTGAGAACGGCAGCAATCTACTAGACGAAATGTGCGAGATGCATGGCACGGAAATAAAGCGAGTGATCAGCCGCCATACTTCTGGAGGCTTCGTCAAAGGGCGCCCGCTGCGGGATGTTTCAGTCCCTGTCTCGACATGCGGCGGCGAGGGGCGTCCTCGGTACGTTTACCGCGCCATTCACCGAGGAAACGAACGGGTAGAGCTAACCTCCTTTGGCGGCATCAAAGCAAGAGGTTTCGGCCGGAGAGAGACGGACGCCCTAGCGTTCCAAAACGATGTGCAGAAACATATCAACCCGACTTCTCACCACAAGAGCCCATTTATGTCAGTGGTGGACAGCTTGCCGAAAGCCCTCGACTGGTGCGAGTCCTACCGCGACCACGGTTATGACGGAATTGAGCTTCTCAAGATCAAGACGTCAGGACCGGAATGGGACCACAAGAAGCAGAGGCTGTGGAAGCTTGCGCATTTGGCTTCAACTTTCGGCTTCCGGGTAACTTCTCGCAATGACCATGAGTACCTCATCGAAAATTCGATCCCCCCCGATGCAGTAGTCCGAAGATGGGGGTTGAGGGACGTGGAGAGACGCACTGGACACGACTTCGAGCTTGATATCGACGCGTCTGTCAAGGCAGAGCGGTATCTAGAGCGCTGCGCCAGTAAGAACGACTGGGCGAGAGCGGCACGGCGCAAGAGAATGGCGGAGGAGGGGCAGATCGCTGAGCCAATTGATCGGACCAGGTCCAGGGGCTTTGGGAAGCTGGTCGTTGTGGGGGCCAAGGTCAGACGCGTGGAGAATTGATGAGGGGGCCCAGGGGCGATTTATATTGTAGCGTTGAACTTGATTGCAAAACAGGACGAGAACGTTGGTCTGCATTGTCTTGGGGGGGGAATTTCGGCGGTAACTAGCTACTAGAATGGGCATATACTGACGGTCTTGTTATTTCTTCTCTCTTCTCACTGATCATCTTTCATTTTCCACAGAAAGCTCGTAGACTTCTCGGCAGGCAGATTCATGCTTTGTCATGCAACTCCCGGAGCCCACTCTTGGCATGTGGCATGGATTCTAACACCATACGTTACGCTATACGTGTAACTGCGATACAGGAAAGTCCCTGCTGCGTTCTGTAAATGGGTCTCGATGCCTGGCTGGATGCTCCCACGATCTGTCATGGACCCCTTTTTGCGACCCGGACCTGCGGGCCCACGAACAAAACAGCTTCCCAGGACGGGACGATTATCAACCACACTCTCTTTGTCCTTTGGCATGGGATGATCTAAACGTAGAACCGAGATCTCACAAGTCATTCAGGGGCGCCCGCCAGGACAAAGAACCCCCTTTGTCGAGAACGTAGTATCGCGGGCAATATAAAATAGACTCGGGCTCGCTATTGCACAATGGATTTCAAGTCTTGCAAACACTCTATTCCACCTATCAAACCCTGTATTCATTTCGATCAACTGGAATGCTGTTCTCTATCAAACACGCAGCCCTGACTGCCCTCACACTCCTTTCCTTCGTCAACACGGTGGCCACCACCAACACCAACACAACCGAGCGCAAGACGCTCAACCCCCGCAACACGCCCTACAAAAACATAGTCTACTTCACAAACAGGCATCTCACCTCCTCCCCGCCCACCCCTCAAAACCCCTCTAACACCACCGCCAGGGACACCAACACCTTCCAGCCCTCCGATCTCCCCATCTCCCAACTCACCCATGTCATCTACGCCTTCGCCAACATCACCGCCTCCACCGGCGAAGTCTTCCTCGCCAAGCCCTTCGTCGACACAAAACAAGCTTACGCCGACGACCTCCCGTCCCCTGACAATACCAACCTCCGCGGCGCCCTCGGGCAGTTATACCGCCTCAAGTCATCCCACCGCCATCTCAAGACCCTCTTGTCGATCGGGGGTCCGCATTTCTCGCGGTTCTTCCCCGCCGCGACATCCACAGCCGAGAAACGCTCCCGCTTTGTGGCTTCCGCGGTGCGTCTGCTTGCGGATCTTGGGGTGGACGGGATAGATCTCGATTGGGAGTACCCTACCACAAAAGAAGAAGGGGGGAAGTATCTTTTACTTTTGCAGGAGTTGAGGAGAGGGTTAGATGCCTACTCGGCGAAGGCAGCGGGGGGTTACCATTTCTTGTTGACAGTTGCGTCGCCGGCGGAGGCGAAGCCAATGAGTTATATGCCCCTGGGTGAGATGGCGGCGGTGATAGATTGGTTTAATCTCATGGCGTATGACTACTCTGGTCCGTGGAGTAAGGTTTCAGGACATCAGAGTAACTTATTTTCTCCCGGGATGACGGGGGATGGGACCAAAGCCGGGAGGTCGACGGAGGGGGTGGTAGACGGGTACTTGAGAAAGGGGGTTCCGTCGGGGAAGATCGTGCTGGGGATTCCGCTGTATGGACGGTCGTTCAAGGGCACGGACGGCCCGGGAAGCAGTTTTGAAGGTACGGGGGAGTACGAGTATAAGGAGCTGCCGCTGAAAGGGGCGGATGTGGTGTCCGATGCCGCGGCGGGGGCGACGTATACTTATGACAAGACAACGCGGGAGATGGTAACTTTTGACACCCCTGAGATGATCAGGATGAAGGTAAGGTGGCTGAAAGAGCGAGTGCTTGCAGGGTGTATGTTTTGGGAGTCGTCGATGGATAAGAGCGATGACAGGAGCCTCATTGCGACAAGTCACACGCTGTTGGGGTCTGTCGATATGGCTCAAAACCAGCAGTCGTATCAGGAGAGCGCGTATGACAACGTGAGGGGCGATATTTCGTAGTAATTTCATCCAGCGTCAGTCGTTTTTGTGCCTTGGAATGTGGATGTTAGTGAGAAAAAAGGAAAGAGAACGCCATGACGCTTTTAAACTTCAAGGGTGGCTGCAAAATGACATCCCCAAAACGCCACCAATCCACCAAGCCCTCAAAAAAGAATGCTCTACCCGTGAGAGTAGGGAGTATGGACGGGCTGGGATTCGAACCCAGGTCTTTCGCTAAACGCTAGAAGGAAACACAACGCTAATGTCGCTTAGTGAACGCTTTAACCACTTCGCTACCCATCCACTTGCCGCCTCCCCTTTTTTTGCCTTTAACCTCCAGACCATCCCCCTGAGCCAGCAGCAAAAAGGATGGGCAGGCCGTGATTCAAACCCGGGTCTTCGCTAATCGCTGGAAAGAAACAACGCTGAATACGCTTAGGAACGCTTTACCACTACGCTACCTGCCCGACGGCGCCTCAAAAGAAATGGTATAAAAAGGGGCGCTCAACCCTCACTTTGCCAGTACATGTGACCAGTCTTGCTTCTTGATCCACTCCTCGAGCGTCGTCATCGGGCAGTCAATGCCGGCCTGTCACCTGTCAGTCCCAATTCACAACATCAACTTGCACCAAATAAACTCACCTTTCTCAGATCCTCCGCAGTAAGAAGCTCCATTCCCCCGTCGTAACCCGGATCATCGGCATACACATACATGTTCGCCACCTCAATGCCAGTAGCCTCATCCCCCAACGTGTCGGCAACCATGTCGTCAAAAGTGACCTGCTTGTAGCTGACGGGGACGTTGTTATGCTCCCCAAACAGACGAATGTACTCGCCAAAGCTAACAATCGACCCGGCGGCCATGTACGCCTTTCCCGGGGGCATCTGCGACACCGCATACACAAAGTTGCCCGTGTCACCAACCACGTCGTGATGAGGAATGGGACGGTTCTCCCTAACAGGGAAGCGCATCTGGAAGCTGCCGTCGGGTTGCTAACCAAGGTTAGCACGGTGCACCACCACCTCAAGTTACCGACAAACGCACCTTTTGGAAGTAGCTGTTAGGCAGAATCTGGTGGCTTGTGTTGAAATAGCCCGTGTGAATGCAGGACATCTTCTTCGCGAGCTCGGGGTACTTCTCGTCGACGTACTGAGGGAAGATGTCGGCCTTCGAGTCGAAGTGGTACACCTCGGTCATCTTGCCACTGGTGGCTTTACCGGCGTGGCTGAGCGTCGACACCAAGAAGCCATTGTCATCCAGCGAGTCAACCACCGTCGCCGCAGCATCGGCGATGTTCTTGCCCTGGCGATACTCGACATCGTAGGCGTATTTTCGGCACGAGATGCCCAGCTCGGCGGCCTTGGCCCGGCAGTCCGGACGGAAGAAGGGCTCCCAGTATTGCGTGACACTGAAGATGATATTGGCGCCTTGGAATGCAGATTTGAGGCTCTCAACATCTTCCAACTCCGCCTGCACAACCTCCGCTCCGAGATCCTTGAGGGCCTGCGCCGCCGGGGATCCCGGGTTTCGGGTGAGTGCCCGAACAGCGAAGCGGGAGTCCTGGAGGAAGCGCCGGGCCACGGATCCGCCCTGGTTGCCGGTTGCACCGATGACACAAATGAGTTTCTTCTCGGCCATTGTTTCGCGGGCTTCTTCCTGCCTCGATGCGTCGCGATAGGTTGTGGGGAACAGGAGAAAACACGCAACCGAAATGGCTAGCGCTGTTTTGTCGTCGCATTCCCCACACAACCCCTCTTCACGTTGCCCCCCGTCTTGCCAGGGCCTTGGTAGGTTAGTCTTTACAGTCTGACCTCCACATAGCGATCGGGTCCGTGGGACCTTTTTTGATCGCTATAGCCAGAATATCGTTGGACCCAGGTAGTGCACGGTCATGTATGACCTAACCCTGGCTATCCATGACAGGTAAAGGGGGTCATGATCCCTGAAATATAGGGCTACGACCACTAAAACTAGACACCTAGGGGCCTATATATGTGCTGAGCATAATGATTTGTATGTGACTAAGCAAAGAATTTCTACCGGATAATCTAATGCTGATATTATCGCTCTACACCACCAAAAAACCTCCGTGGGACCCTTTTTTACCGTTACAGCCAGAATATCGCTGTACTTACAACCGCTATGTGGAGGTCAGACTGTAGTAGTTTTGTGGATGCTAACCGTTTAAGCCCCAGTCTTTGTCCCAGGGTGGTATGCTGAGGCGATTGCTGGCTTATCCCCGGTGATGATCCACTCGCCAAGACGCCCGGCCAATGGCGGTGAGGTGGCGAGGAGAGGACTATCGAAATCCAAGTTCACATAGGGTAAGCCCAACGCCAACTTCGGGTACTATTGAGTGCCCATTTGGGCCATAAGTGACGCATGTCGTTTTCATGGGTTGAGTAGCCTGAGCTCTGTCACTCGTCGAGAGCTCTCGTTGCCGTTTAGCTTGACACCCCCCAGAGAGTCTGACTACGCATGACCCCCCATCGGTCGACCCCATATCCTACCCAACCCATGTGGGTGGTATCTCCGCAGCAGCAAGTAACTGGTGAGAGTGAGTCAGCATCGACCCAATGGTAGTCGGACAGGAGGATATGGGAAATGTTGACTGACTGACTGACTGATCACTGGGTGAAGTCTCGTGCCTCCGAGGATAAGAACTTGAAACCATCTTGGCTTTCTGACGGACGTGCCTTTCTGAAACAGTTCCTTATCCGACTTTCGTCCACACCTCGACTTTGCGATCGATTGCTGGAAAGCGGACTTGGGTAGCTTGTCCTTTGGAATGGCGCTCCCTGAAAAGCCATCTTCTTCCGGAGGCCTAACTCACACCTTCCGACGATCACGCCGGGTATGCGACCCAACCAATCGGAAAAGGTGGCTTCACCTTATTTCAGCTGGGTGCGCTCCCGATGAACCTCGGAAGGCTCACAATCTGATTCAATGTCTCGAGGCCGACAACTGCTCCAACCATGAGGCTACCACAGCATGCGAGCCTTCCCGGCTTCGGGGGGTCGGCTCGGAATCCGTGCCGTCAGCATGAGAGTCTTGAAGCCTCGCGGTGCCACCCATCCAGAAAGACCTCTCCATCCGTGGCCAATCAGCCTCTGCAGCCGGGGATGGGGGAACGCATTCCGGTCCACCTGAGACTTTTGCCATCACTTAGACTGCAGTACGCAAGCCGCTCGACGCCGTCGATCCCTGTGATAACGAGGCACCCACACCTTACCTGTGTCGACCCTTGGGTTGGCTGCTTAGAGCCAGGAATCTGACCAGGGATGTGAGTGAAGCCCGAACAGCCCAACAAAGAAACCCAGAGACATACCGTTACCACTCAAAAGGCCCATTCTGTATCGGGCAAAGTTGACGCTGACTGGAGGGGTAGTACTCGCAGGAGGAAGAGTGTTTGCAGCTTCCGGCATGACACATGCGGAGGAGCAGCCACTGGGCGGCACGGAAGGCCCTTGCCGACCCAACACTCAACAGTCCCACCCCGTTTTGAGGTTTGGGATGTGGCCCCATGGGTCCTCAACGCCGAGGAGGCCAGGAATACTTGGTCAATGTCTGAGACGTACATAACCACGGGGCCGATTCTGTACAGAGAGCGCCACTTTCGGTTGGTGTCCCCAGAGTCATTATGCGAAGTGACTGCCGTGTCTTGAACACGACCCACTTGGAGCCACCTCGAGCAGGATGATATCTGCGCGGGGGATCGACAACGCGATACCGGCAAGATAGTGGAGTCGCGATCAGAGTTGTTGGGAGGAACGGCGATGAACTGGTCAAGGGCCGTGAACGCCCCGATACCAGTGCAGGTTCCTCGTGATGTTTCCACCATGACCACCAGGGCAGCACCGCAAAAAAAGGGACGACATTCGGGTAAACGAAGTGCCGGGGGCGGACTCGCATCATCCACCTCTTGGTAGAGTTTGGGGCAGATCGTCGTCTATCGGGTTGCGCCAAGCGTGGGTGTTGACAATGCCAACCTGCAAATCGCGGGATCATCCGGCGCTCTCAAGACCCATCCTTGTCTTGCTGGAGCTGGATGTCCCGGGTTCCAGACCGAACGCACCTGGCCAAAGCGCGGACCGGCGGTCTACGTCCTTGTTGATGGATTGTTGCGTTGTTGGGGGCTGAGTTGTCAGCGGCGCGAGAATCTCTGCCGTCCTGCAAAGCAACCCTCCATGGTCGATCGCTGAATGATGAACGAGGGTTGGTTGGCCGGGGCGGGAACCGGGTGCAGACGCATGGGTGCGGCGTCCAGGTCATTCAGGGCCAAAGAAATCAGGCTGCTGTGCCCGGTCTATTGTTCCCTTTGTCGTCAGACTCTGGTACGGGAACTGCCAGCCACCATCGCAGTTACTAATCGAGATCGGAAGTGGGGTGAAAGGCAGATTGCGGAGGGTGTTCATGAAGGTTCACAGACACCACTACCTCGAAGGGGAAATGCTCTGCTTAAAATCTAGAGAAATGGGGGTTGAGAGCTGAAGTTCGAGACAGCGGTAAGGGTTCCTAATTCGTCCGCGATATCCGAAATGACGCTTTGGGCGCAGGGTGGCAGAGGAGCTGCCATTTGAGGTGATTGTGCATGTCCCGATTCAGATTTCGCCGCGCCGATCGCTGGACCAATGGATAAGTCAGGCGGGCGGGGGACGACGACGTGGTGGAGGGGCTGGGCGCGGGTCGGAAAACGCCATCTTTGCAGATGCCAGGGGCTACCGAGCCAAGCCAAACGACAGTCGGGATGCAGAAGCCAAGGTGAGTGTTCGTCGGGTTGTGCTGCGCCCTAAAATGTCAGGAGAGGTGGCTCTGGGATGGGGAAGGAAAGAACGACGTGCACCATGCCCACCTTCAGCGTTCCCAGCCCACCCGGGGACTTGCCTCAGCGAGACACACCTCGAACCTGCGGACCGAATCTCACCCCCGCAAAGCTAGCTCACGGCGATCGTCGACGGCGGCACTGGAGCAACACAGCCGGCTTCCGAGGACGACCAGCCCGCGCGCGTATGCTTTAACCCGGCCGCTGTGCAGTCTCCCGATCCCACGAATTTTCGCGACTCGAGACTTCCCTCGACTGCAAACGTCCCCAAAGCGCACCAGACCAGAACCCTTCCCATGCCTGTCTCGCGGCGCACCGGCAGTATTGGAAAGGGCGATGGCTTCGTCAGCCAGTCAAGACAGCAGCCGGGGTCTGCTTGTGAGGAGTGCCGAAAACGCAAGCTTCGCTGTAAGATCACGATCGCCGGTCCAACCCGGCCCCATCACGCCCAACCGGTGCTGACACCATCCCCGCTAGGCG